CCTATTCCTGGGGCTTTTCCTCCTCCTCTTCCTCCGCCTCCTTCGCACTTCTCCTTCTCCAGCTCCTCGTCATCCATTCCTCCTTCGCCACCTCCTCCTACTACTCAAACTCGTCTCCACCTTCTCCCTCATCCTCTTGCTCCGCCTTCTCCCCTTCCTTCTCCTTGTCCTCAAACTCTTCTTGCTCCTCCTCTTCTTCGGCAGCCCAAACCAAGGGGGCCTGTGGGCGGCCCCGCTAGAGGCCTCTTAGATGGGGTCCGAGCAGATGTGGTCGGAGGATCGCGCCGCATCGCCAATGCATCGGCGATGTCGGCGTGGAGAAAGTCGGGCTCTGCTTCGAGCGGCATCGCCGATGCATCGGGGATGCGGCGCGATCCTCAGACCCCATCTTCTCCGACCCCATCTAGGAGGCCTAGACCCACCGAGCCAACTGGTGGGCGGCACCAGGGCATCGAGACCGCTCCATGCCAACCTTTGAGGCCTGTTGGCGACAGACACGGCTACCTCCGATGGGGCTGTCGGTGTTCAGCCCTGGATGCTGTCGGGAACTTTTGCGTAGCGCTAGGCAACCTCATGTGAACCCTACATTGTCGGCGCGCAGAGGGGGGTATGGGGCAGGGGAAGGCTTCTTCGAAGGAGGCTGCTTCTTAGAAGGCGCCGACCTTACATCTATGAAGAAAGCCCACGCCTTCTAAGAAGCAGGGCTGCTTCTAAGAAGCCTCCCCCCGTCCCTCTACCCCCCTCTGCGCGTGGCCGAAAACACCTGCAGCTCAGGTTTCTGAAACGCTGGCTGCGGTCCAGAATTCGAGAGACGTTTGCAGCCAAGTGAGCCCCAGCGGGGCAATTGTCCGATTGCCATGCGTCGAGTGGGCCCGCCGGGGTAGGATTCGCAAGGGGTCGCAAGAGCGTGTCACGGCAGAGGCCCCGGCAACACGCTATGCGCTGCAAGCGGATAACGTGTAACTCCGCGAGGCGGGAGGCCGGGAAAAACCCGGAACGCTGCCAGGAAATGGTCAGCGCAAGTAGCGCATCGCCCCGGAGCGTGGTTGGCCAAAACCAGCGGCGCGACATGCTAAGAACAAGTTCCTGACCGTAGGCCCTGCTATCGCCAACAAAGCCGACGACAGCGGCGGCGGCGGCGGCGGCGACGGAAACGACGATTACGACGACGGCGACGACGCCAAGAACGAGGACGACGTTGACGACGTTGACAAAGACGACGACGACGATGACGACAACGACAACGACAACGACGACGACGATTTCGACTTCGACGGCGGCGGAGGAGACGGCGACGACTACTCCGACGACGGCGGAGAAAATCCAGACGAGAAGAACGGCGGTGGCAGGCGGCTGGCGACGCGCGACGGCGGTTGGCGAAGGCGAGCGGCGCTGGCAGCGCTGGTCGGAAGAGGCCCCATGTGAGACAACGGCGCCCTGCCGCCTGGGCGAAAGCCCTTCAAAATCGGGTCCCCGGACTCCTCTCGGGGTCGAACAGGGGAAGGGGACACGTCGACCCCTATCCCAGGCTTCGTGGGGTTCTCGAATGGACAGGCAATTTCGGGCCCAACACTGGGATATACAAAAGGGGGGGCGTCCCTCCTAGATAGGGGTGCGTCCTAAAAGCCCACTTGGGAAGTATCCCAGGGTTCCCCTCCTTTCCTGCCCCGGCTTTTTTTCCGTCGAAAAAAAGTCAGGGGCGGGGGGCGGGGGAGGGGAGGGAAATCCGTCCCGACCGGTTGAGGCAGGCCAAGCGAGGCCACAAGGTGCCTCCGAGATGCCCGGTAAAGAGCGGAACACCCCATGGGCATGGGGGCCGCCGCTGTCTCCACCGGCCCTGCTCTGACGGCTTGTTCTTGGGCGACACCTCCCCGACTGGCTTCGGGCGACCACTCGGGCCCTCAGGCGGCCGTTCGGCACGCTGCTGGCATGCGTGGAGCGCCCGTGATGGGGCGCAGCTACAGTCGAAACACTGCCATGAGGAACCCTAAATTCGCCGGCCCAACGGGCCAGAGGCGTGCTAAGATCTCCGGTAACTGGTTAACAATTCTCTAGTTCGCGCGCGCGGGGCGGCCCCTGGGGGTCCCCGGACGAAAAGTACCCCGACCGACCCCCGGGCGATCCCCGGGAGACTCCCCAGAGCGCTCCAGGAGCGCTCCATGAGCGCACCAACAGGGCTCCGAGACGTCCCCGAGAGCCCCAAGAAAGGCCAAGAGGCCCCCAAGAGGCCCCCAAGATGGTACACGAGGGGTCCGACATGCCACAAGATCGCTCCAAGACGCCCAAGATAGCCCCCAGACGCCCCAAGAGGCCTCCAAGAGCACTCCCAAGAGGGCCCCCGGAGGCAAAATTCATTGTTTTTCCTTAGGTTTTTGAGAGATTTTGGAGCTTCCACCTTTTCGGCTTCCCGACGCCCCAAGACGGCCCAAGAGGCCCCCAAGATCGCCCCAAGAGGGCCCAAGAGGCCCCCAAGAGGGCCCCAAGATGGCCCAAGAGGGCTCGAAGACGGCCCAAGAAGCCTCCAAGACGGTCCAAGAGGGCCCCAAGAACGCCCCCAAAGGGGCCCCAGAGAGGGAACACGAAACAACATTTCGAGCCCTCGGCCCTAAGAAGCCCCTACGAGGCCCCAAGAGGCCCCTATGAGGCCCCAAGAGGCCCCCACGAGGCCCTCAGGAGGCCCCCAAGAGTCCCCCAAGCGGCCCCAGGAGGCCCCCCAAATGCCCCCCCGAGCGCCCCAGGAGTCCCCCAAGCGGCCCCAGGAACCCCCAAAGCGCCGCATTGACACCAGGCCCTCGGGCAAACGGCAGACATGAGACTGTATGGGCCGGCGGAATGAGCGAAGCGATTAAATAAGGAGCGAAGCCCCTTTTCCCATAAGTTAAACTTCGATTTCCCATCGAAAACCGAAGGGAAACCTGAGGCAAACTGTAATACCACTGAGGAACACTGAGCCCCTCCCAAACGAAAAGGAGTCCTTCTTCAGCGCCCCGACTGTACAGCCGAACATAGAATCAGGAAAGTCATCGTTTAAGAAACCTAGGCCAGCGTCCCGGACGTTTCGTGAAGCAAACCTGGGTCAATATCTGTTGTCAGCGTCACGGGGGCGATTGAGCTCAAGAGACTGCGCCCGCTTTCGGACAAGTTGGTTAAGAAACGCTGGCCCAGCTGTTCGTGAGGAGGTGTCTGGATCTGATGCTCGACTGTAATGGGAACCATCCATGGCGCCGAAGACCCTCAAAAGCATTCGGAAAACGTACGAAGACTTACGAAAACCTTCCCCTGAGACCCAACGGCACTGAAAAAAACAAAAACATCGTACACAGTCACATCCTTCTTCTCCAGTTTTTCGAGCTGGATCGGCCTGTGAGGGTGCCGTGGCCCGAGACGAAGCGAAAACGCCCGTTTCGAAGAAATCGTGACGCCAGGAGAAAACGGGGCCCTCATCGAGTCGCATCGCCGATGCATCGGCGATGCGGCGAAATCCTCCAAACCCATCTACTCGGACCAATCCGGGAGTCCTACGCACATGATGGAAATCCCTTGCCCCGAACACACCCGACACGATCCAAATTTCAAGACTGGAGACTGCTCATGCGCAGAACTCCAGGACATCCTCTGTTTGGCTGTTGCTAGAAGTGCCCCTGGCCCAAGGAGGCCCTCACGGCCTGCAGAGCTCCCCTTCACGAGGCCCAGAGGGCCCCATGGGCTCCAACACGCAGCGAAAAGCTGGGGGCACCTTCGGCCAGGGGCACCTTTGGCAACCCCCGACTCCTCTGCCGAAAACCGTCGAAAATGTCCGAAGACCTTCCAGAAACATCCGCGACGGCCGGCGGCGGGCAGGCGGCGGCGGGCGGCGGCGGGCGGCAAAGGAGTATAGGCGCCAGTCCTACATCTGTAGACAAGACCCGCGCATTATATGAAGCAGGGGTGCTTCTAAGAAGCCTCCCCCCCTCCCCCCGTCCCCCCCCCGCCTGAACCGCCGAAACCTCCGCGCTGGCCGGCGGCGGACGTCGACGGCGAGCGGCGGCGGCCAGCGGCGGCGGGCGGCGGGCGGCGGGCGGCGGCGAGCGGCGGCGGATGGCGGGCGCCGGGCGGCGGCGAGCGGCGGGCGGCCACGGCCTCCACGCGCGCCCGCCCGACGCCCGCCGCAGGGGTCGCGGCGCCGCCGCGGCGCCCGGCCGCCGCAGCCTCGGCGCCCGGCGGCGTGTCGTCCTCGCCGGCGCCGAAGGCGACGGCGACGGTGACGGCCGCCGCCCCGGAGGCCCTCGGAAGTTTCTGGGCGGAGGCCTCCCGGGCAGCGCCTCTCTCCTTCTCCTCCTCCTCCTCCTCCTCCTCCTCCTCCTCCTCTCCTCCTCTCCTCCTCCTCCTCCTCCTCCTCCTCCTCCTCCTCCTCCTCCTCCTCCTCCTCCTCCTCCTCCTGATTTGAGGGCCCCCTCCTACTCCAAGAGCTTTGGCGGAGGCCTCCCAGATGCCCTCGGAGGCCTCCGAGGCCCTCAGGAGGCTCCCTCGGCGGCCAATGAAGCCCTCCGGAAGCCTTAGGCGGCCCTCGGAGGCCCTCCGAGGCCCTCTGAACAAAAGCTTCCGAGGCCGTCTGGAGGTCCCTCGGGGGCGGCCCTCAGATCAGAGGCCCTCGGCGGCCTTCGGAGGCCCTCGGCAGCCGCCCAGGGCGACGGCGGTGGCGGCGAGAGAGGGCGACGAGCACGACGGCGACGAGGAGGGGTGGCGAGGGAGGGGGAGGAAAGGAGGGACGGAGAGGAGCGGAGACAAGGGGGGGCGGGGCTTGGCCAGGGGTACGCCAAGGACCCCAAAGGCCCTTCGCAGGGTCTGACCGCGCTCTGCAGCACCGTGAACGTTGGGACCATCTAATCGGCCCCGCCCATCCGGCCTGCGGGCCGCAGCCTCCGACCCAGACCGAGGAGAGGAGGGAAGGATAGGGGCGAAGGGAAGGGGGGAGAGGAGGGGGAGAAGGTGGGGGGGGAGAGCGGCGCGGAGGACTGCCGAGGGAGGCGGCACAACAAGGGCAGGAAGGTGAGGAGAGGAAGGATGCACTGCGGGAGGGAGATGGCAGAGCAGGAAGAGAATGGGGAAGACGTGGTGGAACAGAACGAGGACAAGGGAGGCTGTTCCTCTGGCTTCTCCGCCTCTCCCTCTTCTCTTCCCCCTCCTTGTCCTCCTGCTCCTCCTGCTCTTCGCCCCTCTTACACCACCTCACTCAGTCCTCCTCCCCCTCCCCATCCTCCTCCTCCTGCTCTTCCTTCTCCTCCTCCTCCTCCTCCTCTTCCTCGTCGTTACCATCATTATCATCATCATCATCACCATCATCATCATCATCATCATCATCATCATCATCAGCATCATCAGCATCATCAGCAGCAGCATCATCATCAGCAGCAGCATCATCATCGTCATCATCATCAGCAGCATAATCATCAGCTGCATCATTACCATCACCATCAGCATCATCACTATCATCAGCATTAGCATCAGCATCAACATACTCATCTTCATTTTCATCATCAGAATCAGCATCATAATCATCATCATCAGCATCATCAGCAGCATCGTCATCGGAAGCAGGAGCATGAGCAGCAGCAGCATCAGCATCACCATCAGTCCTGATTCCCTTCCCCCCACTTTTCCCGATCTCTCTTGTCCCCCTCCTCGTCCTCCTCGCCCTCCCCGTCGTCCTCGGCCTCGCCGTTACTCCTGCGGCGACCGTGCCCTCGTCCTCGTCATTCTCGTCGTCGCCCCCCCCCCCCCCTCTCCAGGATCGCGCCCAAAAACCCAGACCGCGAGGGCGCGGATACGAATATGCTCGCCGCTCGTGATCCTGCTCCTCCTCGTCCTCCTCCTCTTCCTCCTCCTCCTCCTCCTCACCATCATCATCAACATCAACATCAACAATATTAGTAGCAGTCGGGGGCCTCCGGGGGGCAACCCGTGTCGGCGGCCGAGCTCGGTGAAGAGTTGCCCCCCCTGGTGACACTTGAGGTTTGACCCGTCACACACGTGGTACCGAGCGGGGGGGGGGGGCGTTTTGCATACGGTGCGGGGCCCACACGTCGTCGACCCGTGCCACAGGTCTCGTCGAGCCGTGCCAGGACCACCCCCCCTCGGCTCGTGTCAAGGATTGTTTGAAACGGATGAAGAGAGGGCTCCACCACACCAAAGGGGGAGCCCAAGCCGAGCTAGGCCCGCCTCGCCCGCTTCGCGACAGATCGCGTTCGCCAGACCGAGGCAATCCGTGCGAATGTAGCTACATGTCGGCGGGCGCCTGCGATTCGGCAGCGACCCTCCTCGGTAGAGCGGCATCATCATCATCAGCAGCAGCATCATCAGTAGCATCATCAGTAGCATCAGTAGCATCATCATCATCATCATCATCATCATCATCATCATCATCATCATCATCATCATCATCATCATCATCATCATCATCATCATCATCATCATAATCATCATGATCATCATGATCAGCATCAGCATCATCATCATCAGCATCACCAGCAGCATCATCATCATCCTCACCCATCATCATCATAACCATCATCACGATCATCATCAGCATCATCAGCATCATCAGCATCATCACCATCACCACCACCACCAACACCACCACCAGCACCATCATCATCATCATCATCATCAGCAGCAGCAGCATCAACATCATCATCATCATCAACATCAACATCTGCATCATCATCAGTAACATCATCATAATCATCATCATCAGCATCATCAGCATCATCCTCATCCTGATCCTCATCCTGATCCTCATCCTCATCCTCATCCTCATCCTCATCCTCATCCTCATCCTCATCCTCATGCTCATCCTCATCCTCATCCTCATCCTCATCCTCATCCTCATCATCATCATCATCATCATCATCATCATCATCATCATCATCATCATCAACAGTACCATCATCATCGTCATCATCCCCTCCCGCTCTCGCCCTAATCCTCGTCGTCGTCCTCCTCCGCCCCTCGGGCGAGCGGTGCCGCAGCCGCGCGGCCCTTGCGTCCTCCCCGCGCCCCTCGTGCTCAGCCCTTGCGGCCGCCAGCTCTGCGCGGCCGCGGTCAACGCAGCGGAGGATGTGCTCGACCTGTGCTATGCTGCGTCTTCGGGGGGGCCCTTGTCTGTCCCGTCGAGCCCCTATCCTCGCTGAGCGCGCCACACCTAGCTGGTCCTCACCCCTCTCTTCCCGCCTCCCCATTGCTTGCCGCCCTCGGCCATATCACCCCTCTGCTCCCTCTTCCCTCTTCCTGTCCCTCTGCCCCTCCTCCGCCCCAGAGCCTTTCACCCTCTCCACACTCTAGAAAAAGCAGCAGTAGCAGATGGAGGAGGTCTCCCTCTTTCTCCTCCTCCTCCTCATGCCAAGTCCCCACTTCCTCCTCCAGCCCTTCCTCCTCTCACCCCTCCTGAAGGAGTCATAGGTGGGGGACGACGAAGAGGAGGAGGAGGAGGAGGAGGAGGAGGAGGAGGAGGAGGAGGAAAAG